AGATGTGTCATAATATCAAACGGAACTACTTTGGAGGTTTTGGCCCCACTAAGCTTTGAAGTAAGAGTCCACACTTTTTTTTTTTTTTTTTTTTTTTTTTAAGTTTGTGACATACCCCATACATTTAAATATCAGGCAGAAAAAAACCTTTATTAATATACAGACAACCTTGGTTTCACAAAGTCTATAGTTAGATATAATTATAGTTAAATTAATGAAGCAACTTATTTAAATATATAAATGGTGATTTTAGCTCAAAATGAAAATTGCACCTTACACATGAACAACAAATAAGTTTCTCTTATTATTCCTACCTTATGAGGTGAGCTGGTTTTTGATGAAGTAGTTTCTACTGCAATCTGAAACCCTATGCACATTACAAAATAGAAGCTGAAATCTTATAATTACTGAAATGTTTTTGGTGGAATATCTCCAAAATTAGTAGACTATTAGATTTGCACACTACCATGCATTTATCAACCATGGCAAGTATTGCCACTGCGCAAAATATTAGACATTACCTATCTTCCATAGAGCCAGCCCAGCAAATAACTGGTTTAAGAGCCACTGAGCGTGATATAAGATCTTTTACAGTAACTTTCAAATTACAGCTATTTTAAAAACTCAATTATTTAAAAACAACAAGCACATTTCTTAATAGTTTTAAATCTTTTTTTTATTTTATATTTTTACATCTAATTTACTTAAAATATGATTAATTAATAACAAATCCAGCTAATAGATATGAGCACTTAACGCATCGCATCAATTTAATTTCTAGAGGTTGATTTCAGCTTCTATTTTGTAATCTGCACAGGGTTTCAGATTGCAGTAGAAACTACTTCATGGAAACCAGCTCTCCTCATAAAGTAGGAATAATAAGATAAACTTATTTGTTATTCATGTATAAAGTGCAAGTTTCATTTTCATTTTGAGCTAAAATCACCATTTATATATTAAAATAAGTTGCTTCATTATTAAGTATTACAAAATATGTAACATTTTAATAATCCAAAACAAAGCTAAATGATTTCTTTGGTAGATAAGTAAAATTTTTAACATGTTAAAATCTATATTAATCTAAATCTACTTACCTTCAAAGTATTACATACACAACCCTTTTCCATAAATAGAAAAAGGTTTGCCTTATACACAATTACTTCATTAAAAAAAATTAAAAGCAGTAAAAAGTTCCATGCAGCCATTCTACTTGACTTTGAAACCAAATTAAGGGTTAATTTACTGAGGCAGGATTTGCAGTGTAATGCACAAGCTCTAGAAAACTAAAGTAGTTCAGTGACACATGTTTCTGCAAATTATTCACCTTGCACTTTTTTCCACAACATAATGATTTACATTAGTTATTTAGTCATTCCTTTTTATCGTGTTACAAGAAGGCTGCAACGCTTTTTATTTTGAATCATTAGTTAACCTAATTATTTATCACTGAAATTACAATAGAATTTTTATTTATTTATTTATTTATTTTTCTATACAGTTAACTGGCAAAACATAAGTTTGAATAATTGTTAGCAACAGAACTAGTTGATATAATATATTGTTGCAAAATGTCCAGCAGCTGAGCGGTGAGATAGCTTCCCCACAAACGCGGTGTTAAAATTGCTAGAAAGTGGCAGGAATGCCATATTTGACATGAAATCACCCATTTGGCAACAAAATTGGCAATATGCACAGACAGAGCTAGAACATTAGGGGTTTTCTCAGGAATATTCTTGAAGGTAGGTTAAGGCTATATATACTCTGCCTGTAAAGGGATAAAGTGGTGTCTTGAATTCAGAGATTAGCTTGTGAGTGATCAAGCGAGTCGGAGCTGTACTTTAGTGCTTTGTTGTGAAGCTGGCTTTACATTATAGCCTGAAGGCTGCTGATTGCTGATTGTTTCAGCATATTGTCATAGTTTTTCAATGAGTGTAAACATTTCTTTGGAAATGCCCTGTGTGATAGCACTTACTGGTGAATAAACTGTGTTTTGATGCCTCATCAAGTGTTATCATGAATTACTCCCAATCTATGAATCTGTAGAACACAATAATATGCACCCAATCTAAATACAGCCAGCAATAATCAAAATTAAAAATGGTAAAAAAGTTAATGAGGTAAGAATATATAAGAAGAGGTACTAGTTTTTATAATTAATATTAAAAGCAGTGATTTCTAAAGGATATATCACATTCCAGATATAGATCAGAGAAATTATATACAGTGTCTCACAGAAGTGATGGGACACTTGTGCTTTACAAAAGGAAACTGTAGTAAAATAAATTAAAAAAACATGTAAAAATTTTTGTGGGTGTGTTTCATACTTAAATTTAGTAACAATTATTACATAACATACATTTTCTCAAAATATTAAAATATTAATTTAATAAAGATACAATTGTTTAGAACAGAGCAAAAAATGGCTCACATAAGTGATGGGACACTTACTTTTCCATCAAATATTTATCCAAAAATTTTACTTTTTAAAAGGTTTTAATATTTTGTTGGATTTCCTTTTACTTTTAAAACATGATTTTATCTTCTTGGTATGGATTCGACTAATTTCTTTATGATTTCTGGAGCGATTTTACCCCATTATTCTTGAAGCACTGATTTTAATTGTTGCTTTGAAGAAATTGTGTGTTTGCGAATTCTTGATTCCAATTCTTGCCAAATATTCTCTATGGGATTTAAGTCTGGAGATTGTGGTGGTGTTTTTATTATTTCAGGATAGTTATACAGCAGCCAGAGTCTAACGTTCAAAGCAGTGTGCCTGGGGCCATTGTCTTGGTAGAATTTTAAATCGTTATGAAGGTTCAATTTTCGTGCTGAAGATTTCAAATTTTGATTTAAAATGTCAATATACTTGTAATGATCCATTATACTGTCAATAAAAACAAGATTACCAACTCCAGCGGACGACGTACACCCCATACCATAACTCCTCCTCCACCATGTTTTACTGTTGGCACCAAGTTCTGTTTGTGAAATTCTTTTTTGGGGTTTCTCTACACCAAGATTCTACCGTCAGAACCAAATATATTAAATTTACTCTCATCAGCAAATATAACTTCATTCCAGTAATCAGACTTCTTATTTATGTTCGGATTTTGCGAAAGCCAGTCTGAGTTTTCTATTCTTTTCACTTACAAAGAATTTTTTCCTGGCTGCTCTACCGTGATATCCAGCGGATTGAATTACTCTTCTAATAGTCTCAGGATTAACAATTACTCCATATAATGCTTGTAAATCAGGCAGCAACTTTAGGAGCATTCATTCTTGGATTTTTTTTTAATATTTCGAACGATAATTCACTTTATTCCATTGGATAGCTTTGATGGTCGGCCAGGTCTTCTTTTATCCTGAATCATATGATTCTTTTTATATCGTTTAATGATATTGAAAATTGTTGAATGACTCAAGTTAACTGTTTCAGCAGTTTCTCTAATAGATTTTCCACGTTCAATATGCAAATTAATAACTAATTTTCGAATTTCAGGCAAAGTTTCTTTTCGTTTAGCATTCATGGCTGCACAGAGCTAAAAAACACAAAATTTCCAAAACAAACTGGAGAGAAATACTGCAGACGATTTTATAAATTATTGCCAACTGCTTTTGAGTAAAAATAAAAACCCCAAAAAATATTTTTATTGTAGTACGTAGTAGTATCTAATGGTGTCCCATCACTTATGTCAGCCATTTTTTGCTCCGTTCTGAACAATTGTATTTTTATTAAATTAATATTTTGAGAAAATGTATCTTATGTAATAATTGTTACTAAATTTAAGTATGAAACACACCCACAAAAAATTTTTACATGTTTTTTAAATTTATTTTATTACAGTTTCCTTTTGTAAAGCACAAGTGTCCCATCACTTTTGTGAGACACTGTATATGTGGATGATTATGATATTGAAACTTGAGTCAGGATGATGAAAAGCCTGAGAAACAGTGATTTAAAAGTTGATAATATCCTTTGGAATAGTTGAAATGAATAAATATATTTAGCACATATTTTTAATGATCCCAAAGTCTTTCAATCATTTAACTGCTTTTAAATAAATTATATATAAACACTTAAAGTGAAAAATTACTATTATAAATTTATATTTTTAATACTTTAAAGATAATAAACCTAAAATTACTTTAATTTTAAAAAATAATAAAATTTAGGATATTTATCTTCACTGTACCAAGGAGAAACTATTGAAAATGCAATGGTTACACAAAAGGATAGAATTGTACTATGCATTCAACTACTTTTAGCTTAGGGACACATTTTCATCGATGACTTTATCTATGTTACATTCTTGTAACATACCTTTGGTAGATACACTTGAGATTATTAGGATACAGCAAGGCTATGACGAAGGGTGCCTTCATAAAGGACTTTTTAAGGTAAACTGGCTTGTATTCAAGTAACCATGAGAAACCCATGCCATGGAAAACCATGAGAATACTTGTGCAACCAATCCACTCGCTTGCATTGAACCCCACTTGATCTACCAGTATTCAAAGGTCTTAACCACTAAGCCACTGGTGCAGCTGATCATACTTGAGGAAAATGATAGCAACTAATGATAAAAGCAGAATAAATGAAAAATGATAAAAATAGCGCAGTTTGTCTATTTTGCTAAGAACAGCATCATGGACAAAACTGCCAATGTTTAAGAGCTTTGATGTCTTAGTTATAACAGATTATGAAAAAAGCAATACAACTACCAGGAAACCAATAAAAAAAATAGCAGATTTCTTGAAATACTATTCTTGGAAAACAACGCACCTTGAGTTTATGACATTTGAATTAAAAATGCTTATAATATAAGTACTTTTATTCACTCGATATTTATTCAAAACACACTGTTTTAATTCATTTTGCAATTTCAGAAACACTGGTTTGGCCCATTTAGATACCCATTTAATTTTTAAATTCGTTCCTTTCTAATATGAATTTTAGGCTGATTTATATAGAGCTATGATGTTAAAAAGATACAACTTACTTCAAAGACAAATATATTCTTTGCACCAATTCCATCCATCCTAATAAGCTTTCCTTAAAAACAGCTTGAACGATTTCATGAGAATTATCTGTGTAATCATGAAAAACAACTATGCTTTGATCTGGAGTTGCTTTGGAAAATATCATTCTTTCACCATCAATTGGATGATAACTCTAAAATATATCAAAAAAAATTTTTTTGAGCTAAAATTAACTGTGTTGTAACAACACACATATAAAAATTTGTAAAAATAAAGAGTACCAATTTTTTTGCTGAATAATTTATGATAAATTAAAAAAAAAATAAAAAAAACATACAAAATTAATCTACAATCTGGAAACTTTGTACTACAATACAGCATTCTCCCAAAATAAGTTACTATTTAAAATTAAAAAATAAATAAATAGAAAAAAATCATAAATGGATTTCATTTCTTTCCTGAAATAAAAATAATATTTATTGTTAGTAACTCTTAAAACAATCTTTACTGGTGAACAAAATTAAAATTCGACTCAAAAAGGATCTCAATTTATAAAGCCCCACTGGTTGTTTCTGCGTCTCTTTTTTGAATATAAAATAGTAAAAACAGAAAAGTATCAAAATATTTAAATATATAATAAAAGGGGGAAAAACTACCACCAGTTTCCATTTTTATTTTAAATGTAGATGGTACTACACAGAGGAATAGGGTTAGAAATTTTGCAATTGATATATTATGTAACATTAGAAGTGTATTTTATTTAGAATGCTTATATTATAAAAATAACACTTTTTAGAAAATGTTATTAAGAAGTACAGATGAAATAACTTTTAAAATAATTTAGTTTGTTATATGATGAGCATAGCATTTTTAGAATACTGGATATGCATAAGAAACCCTATGCACCAGATATTGGCAAAAATGTCTAGTCCTAATGAACACAAATTTTTATCATTAAATGAAAACAAGAACACCTTGCTAATTGCTAAGAGCATTTCTGGATGTTATTTTACTACATTAACCAGACGTTTTAAAATGAGATATGAAAGGAAAAAGAAACACAGGCAAAGCTTTATAAAAATTATTGATTGACTGAACTCTTGATTTAATGAAAATTTACTTACTTAATGGGAATAAGAATGAGAAGAATGACAAATAATTAAAAATTATTATTAAAATTTCAGCTCAGAGGTATTTAATATCTTCACTGTCTTCTAGATAAAAGGTAAAACTTAACTTTTTTTTTTTTTTTTTTTTTTTTTTTTTTTTTTTTTTTTTACAAACGGCAGGTACTAGTTGTTATGGGCATTGGCCACTATTAAGGTCGGAGGCAGTGAGCACTGTATTATGGAGGCTTATAATAGGTGGGCCATCATTCTCTTCTATGAAGGGACAGACAATTTAGATCCATGTTTTCTCCATGATTTGAAACCCGGCCTTTCGGCAGAGCAATCAAAGTTACTAGCCACTTTTCCCATTTGGCAGCACTTGATAAAATGTTTTATTAAGAAACTTTTATTTTTAACTACATTCCATTACACATTTAAATTCTTGTACCTATTTAATAAAAACATAGATACAATTAACTTGGAATTATTATTATCTAAGACTATGTGTTATTACCTAAGACTACGTGTGAAATATGTCAAAAAACTTAAAAGGAAAATAAATATTATTTTCATTTCTAACTTCCTTTTCTTTCTTTTTTTTTTTTATATATATATATATATATATATATATGTCAGAAATAGACATCTCCAATTCAGTCTTTCATTCTTTACACATTACAACCACAGCATTAATCATGTGAGTGAGCAAAACATATTAATTTGTTTGGCTACATGGCATAACAGTTTTAATTTTTCATTCACACAGCTTGGCTAATTGCCAGTTTTCAAAAGTACTGCCATTTTATGCAGGCTAAAATGCTTAAGTTACCTGCTAAATTAAAACTTGAGAGTGTTTTATAAACCAAGTGATTTAAAGGCAATATATGTATTTTTTAATACTACCTTTCTTTTTTTTTTCCCCCATTTTTGATAACATATGTAGTTGCTTTAAATTCTACTGCAGGGAAAAAAAAAAAAGAGTATATTGATATAATTCATAACATTTAATTGATATAATTCATAACATTTAAATGATAATTTTTATAAACATAGGCACCATTAGTGCAAATAAGGGGGGAAATTCCTAATGGCATATATTATATACTTCTGCTACAGAATAATCAGTTGTGCATTGCCTAATAAATTTGCTACATTTCTTTTTTATTCTAATTTTGTATTTAAGCTTGCACATTGCTTTTTTTATATTAAGCTTCACATTTGTCACATATATTTATTGAATACAACTGTTGTTTTCTCTTTCTTTCTGTTTCTTTGACTGCTATGGCTTGGTTCATTAATTTCGGATTTTTATATTACATATTATTATTATTTATGCTACTTATTAAAATCATTTCTGATCCAAAAGTACTTGAGTTTACTAAGTGGGTGAGTTTATTAGATAATGATTTGTACATTGCAAGGAGTTAAGTAAGTTTTAAACTTTTTCAAGTAAAAAATGACTTACAATTAATTCATTGATTAATCATAAAATAATTTTAAAATAATACTAAAAAATGAAACTATTTATGTAATTTTAAAATTCATTTTTTTACATTTTTTTATAAAAATATTTTTACATTTACATACTTGATGAAATTTTCTCCCCTATAACTACTAATCTATCTATTTTTATTTTTTATTTTGTTCAACAATTTTTCAATTATAATCTTAATTTATAAAACTGCTGATAGCTTTTTCGATCAGTACCTTTCAGTTCGAGAATTTTTCTTAAAATTTGCAGTGCTTTTCTAGATTCCATTGATGATGGCATGTCAGGACTTTTCCTGAGAGTTTCTGCAGTCTTTTAGTACTTTCATATTCAGTTTTTACACGTGTTGTCTTAATATTAGTGTGAATTGACACATATTCTAAAATGTATCCTCCTAACTTCCTTCACTGCAAAAGCCACATCTGAAATAATTTTTAACTGATTTTAAGAGATTAACCTTCTATATTGACTATAATATGCAAAGCCTCTAACAGAGATATCAACTTACTTATCTCTTCCTTCACTTTCACAAAAATTGATTTTTCTTCATCATCTAAGAATATCTTTTCTGTAATGACATTTAAAGGCTTTATAATACGCTAAAATTAATGGATGAATTGTTTAAGTAGTATTTATAAGAAGAGTCACTAAAGTTTTTTGAAAGAGAAGTGTACACTGCACAGTAATCTAATTAGTAAAGCCTTTTTTTAATTTTTCTGTTCACTGTCCTATTTCAAAAGAAAATCAACAAAAATGCTATTTGTAATTCATGAGTCCTTGTTATCATGGAAAGTTCTTTACTCCTTTCAAACATCAAGGTTTTCTGCTTTTGTAGATAACTAGTGCTATCTTTTTAATAATAGGGCCCATATTGCAAATTAATAAAACTGTAACTTTTTTCTGCAGTCTCAAAAACCAACTGTTGTTTCACTTTTAAATTTTAGTGTGTGTTTCACTTTGTTCTATAATGCAGTCCAGTTCTGTCTGTTTTGTAAATTTCGAGTGTTTTCTTTCATTTAGCATTTCAAGTAAAACACATAGCATTTAGTGTTTCAAGTAAAACCTGTTTTATCATGTTACCAGCTGCATGGTGATCTGCTTCTTCTTGCTCACTATGCAATTTTTGATTAATGATGATGGATTTCTCTTTCTTCAACTTGTGATCCATATGTCAGGTGATATAAAACTATCTCCTAGCATTTAGCTAATTAGTAAAACAGTTCTAGAAATGGAAACAATTGTCAGCTTCGTATCTTGAAGCCAATTTTAAAAAGCAATTTCAACATCTCTGAATTTTCTATTTCTTTGCTCTTCCTTGAAACATTAATATTTTTCATTAATTCTTCATAAATTCTAATTCTCTGCTTATGTAAATTGCACAATGCTGTTTAGGAAATCCCCAGCTTAAATGTAATTTTACTCTTGTGATTACCAATAATATTAAAATCTTTTAACAATTTATCTTTTTCTTTCAGGTTAAAGTCATTTGCTTGGCATTTTAATAATTTAAGCACACAATAAATTGGGGAAAAAATGCTTCAGTTATTTATTCAAATTTCAAAATTTATATTTCTAGTCAAAAGGAAGATTGCCCTTTGTCATTTTAGTCAATCTGTCACTTCATGTTTATAAGAATGACCAATGAAATATGAAATTCCCTTGCTTTTTCTTCAGTCTACAGTTACCACTTCTTTTTCGTTCAAAGACGCTTCATGTGTAAAGCTTAAAAGCATTTCATGAACATTTTTATAATTCTTTGTGAAAATAATGCATCTATCCCAAGCAGAGAATTCTGAAGGTGAAAACCTTAAAAAGATGGTATACAGAAATTCCCCTTTCATCTCCTACTAGCTGGTATTCAGGAATGAACCTCACTCATTTAAAATGCCTCTAGAGATTGATTTTGTTAAACTTAAGGTATGAAAATTCTGCTACTCTGAAGTCTAATATGTACAAAAAACTCTGACCTCAGTGTTTCACAGGTACAGGGACATGCGGATAGGAAAATTTCAATCAACTCTTTTTATTGAAGTACTACATACTTGAATGATAAAGCCACAATGCACAATTTATTAAATGGATAAACTACAAAAAGCTTTGATAAGTAGAATATTTTGGCACTGAAGAATCAGTCATTTGCTAATAGCAGTAATAAGAGCGATTTGAAGTAATAAATGATTTGGGCGATGATTACTACCTGCACCAAAGGTACTGCTTTCATGTTTTTCCCTCTAACTTTATTAAGAATGTTTTTTTACCTGAAAACTTTCATTACAATTAAATATATATGGAATAAAAGCAAAATTTAGAAGTACTGATGTAGGACCATAGAAAATACTGATGGTGAAGCACGTAGATGGCATATTAATAAAGATCCATACTGAAGAGGAAGAATTAGGATTCCTTAGTATGCTAATATGTTGAGTTCATAATATCTAAGAAACTTGGCAGTTGAGGCAGATTAAAGATTAAATTCCATTTTTATTTAAATTGACATGTGTAGTGTCAATTCACTTGGCACTCTAATCATGCCTATTTCAAGAAAATTTACAATGATACTGTTGAGATAGAAAGAGAGCACAGCGAAATATCGTTTAATTAGCAACAAAGGCAGAAACAAAGTGTACATTTATCCAATATGGAAGATCACTTTGGTTTAGGTTAGAAAGTTCTCAAAATCTTTAAGTTCAAATTCCCAATTACCAACGTCATCAGCATAAGCCATGTATCACAGATTGATCTAGACATGCCGTAGTCCAGGAAAATTATTGCAATTTTTAGAATACAGAAAGGAAATATTAAAATTAAAAATGAAGTGTTAAAAGCCATGAAAAAAGCACATACTGAAAACACACACATATTCTGATAAAACTATCATATTTTCTTGTGAACAAAAAAATTCCAACACATAAATAAAATTGGAATTAGGTTTTTCTAAAAGAAAATAATAAATTAATCAGTTTGAGATAGATCTAAAACAAATTATTCATTCAAATGCAAGGAAATTTTAGTTTATTTCTTACAGCATCTTAAGTAGTTTATTTACTAACCTGCATACATGGTTCAAAAGACACCAGTAGACTATTAACTGTTGAAAGTGATATAATTTCTGGAAAGAAGGTTTCTGCAGCCAATTTAGGACACTGGCTGATGTTCACTCTTTTTACACGTGGGCAGTAATTAAGTTGAAACTTTTTCAGAATACGGCAGGCCTGAACTGAAATTTAAAATGAAAACATGAAAAAGCTATTTTAAAAAGCTTAAATAAAAACTAATTGACTTTTTTTTTTAATCAAAGTACTCAGTTTCCTTGAAAGGTAACAACAATACATAATTTCCATTTTATACTTTTAAAAAGTAAATAAATGACAATATAACTAGATATAATTTATGATAAAATGTCAGTTTTAGAAGAGGGAGTAAAAGAACTAAAATAGATCAGTTTTCAAGGAGCTATAAATACAGTCAAAAGTCGTTAATTCGGACACCCATAATCCGAAATGATCTATAATCCGGACCTCAAAGCTAAAAACTTTCTGCGCATGTGCCGTATTGACACATGCACATAAGCATTTATACGTGCACGTAAAGACCTTTACGACTGTGCAGATGCGTGTGCGCAAACGCAGAATACATTTTTGCGTGCACGTTCAATGTATAACGGACGGTATAAGCTAAAATTATCTAATTATCTATCTCAGTTAATGTTGATGATTGCGTTGTTCCTTAATCTTCGAATTGAATCAGGCTTATTATTTTTTGCAGAATGTAAGAGCAATTTTATAAAAGTAAACTTGAACTTTCGATTATGTCAAATAGAATTTCCGATGGTGGAGCTCCCAAAGGATCTACAAAACAAAAGTATGTTTCGATGTCCATCAAACAAAAAGTGGAATTGCTGCAAAAAATGGATAAAGACATGAAGAAGGTGACAGAGAGGTTAGTGAAAATGAAAAAATTTCGATTGACAAGTTAGTCGGTATTCTCGGCACAGCAATTACGGGACTTGAACAGCGGAATTTTGTAACTGAACAAGAAATTATGACTGTTTATAGAATTAAAGAGAAAGTATTATCACGTAAAACGAAACAACTTACATTGAAAGAAATGTTTAATAATGATCTATAATCCGGAATCGCCGAAGTCTCGACGAGTCCGGATTAACGACTTTTGACTGTATAATGAATGAAGTTCAGATAAATGTAATAAAAATATTTTTTTAAAGTACATTATTTATGGTGGTACATAAAAAACAACATAGCCTTGAGATAGTCACAAGAAATGCAAGTAAGTAATGAATAATATCAAGTTGCCATTGTCACAAACTCATTGTATGCAAAATCATGTTACCATCAAAACTCACTGTTGTTTTGTACATTGATGCTATGACCAACTTAAATCAGTTTTTCAGAAATCATTTATAATTTTTATTTAAATTACTGGTAACTTGCTAGCTGTTGCTCTAAAGTGTTTGATATAAATTACTGAAAGCCATGATAATGATCCTGATTAGTATATTATCATAGACACACATTTGTAATTTTAGCTTCCTCTTATGCTGTTACTCCCAGGGAAAATAATTGAGCTCAAGATAAAGGCTGGTAGAAATAAACTGAAAATTTCAGCTATCGTTGCATGACTTTTAATAGTTTATTATATATATATATATATAATTTTTTTTATTATTACATATATATATATATATATATATAATATATATGTAATAATAAAATTCCATGGTCAAGAATACACTTAAAATTCTAACTGTATGTTCTTTTCATTTTTAATGGCAAGGTTCTCTTATTTGAAAGTACATGGGATTAAATCCACAGCCCCGTAGTCAAGTTGTTTTTCCTGCCTTTTCTACACATACAGTTATAGAATGTTCTGGAAATATTTAAAGCGAATTGGATTGGCTGACAAGGCTGACGTCTTTTCTTGGAAGTTCCGCCTTTCCAAATGCTATATATATATATACAGTCAAAAGTCTTTAATCCAGATGTCAATAATCCGGACCTAAAAGTTACAAACTTTATGCGCATGCGTCAACGCATAATGCGTTTCTGCATGTGCATATTCATTTACGCATGTGCATAATACCTTTATGCATGTGCATATGCATTTACACATGCGCATAATATGTTTACGCATACGCGTTTAATGTATAACAGACAATATAGGCTAAGATAAAATTATCTAATTATCTATTTCAGTTAATGTTGCAGATTGCGTTGTTTCTTAATCTTTGAATTGGATCCGGCTTATTATTTTTTGCAGACTGTTAGAGCAATTTTATAAAAGTAAGCTTGAACTTTCGATTATGTCAAAAAGAATTTCTGATTCTGGAGCTGCCAAAGGATCTACAAAGAGAAAGCATGTTTTGATATCCATCAAACAAAAAGTGGAATTGCTGCAAAAAATGGATAAAGGCGTATCCTTTGTTTCTCTAACCATTCCGAAATCTGTTTATCAATTTCACGCTGTTCTGCGGAGGGGGGGGATGAACTTGAAGCTGATCTGTCAGTACTATCCTTATCTTGAGGGCAGATGTTTTTATTTTATTCGGCTTATAATTCCTTACTAATAGTATTTCATCTTGATGTACTCCGTCTTTGATATGATTTAAATCAAATTCTTCATCATTATAGTTATCACGAATACACGTCAAATAGTTTTCTGGTTGCAATTTTCTAATTTCGACTATGCGCAATGTATGCTTTTTGCATGTGCGTGTTGAAAGAAATGTTTAATAAAGTAAACAAATAAATATTAAGCTTTTTTTTTTTTTTTTTTTTTTTTTGTGTAAATTTTGATACCCTTTAGATCATAATTGCTCTTTATTTCATAAATTAAAGTTTCATATTTTTACTTCCTTGTACGAAATAAAAAGGAAGTATTGTAATCGCGAAAAGTTTCAGGCAGCATATTTCAACGAAAATATCCATTTGGACCGCTATCGAATGCAATTTAACGATGTTTTCGTGTGATATCTGTATGTAAGAACAGAATTTATGAGCAATTTTATTTATTGATTTATCTATTTAGCAATGAGGCAAATGGCTTAAGAAGCTGGCAATGGTTTTGGCAACTAGTTTTTGCCACCATATTTGGCATGAAAGCACACATTTTCCTCTGGTCTCTCTATAACTCCAATTGATTCTGTAATTGATCTCTACATGTACCAGTAATGTATATGCCTTCCAGTAATTTTGAGAAAGTTAAGTATTGAAAATTTCCGGAGACCAGATATATAAGACCGAAGAGAGCATCAGTTCTCAGTTTTTAGTTCAGAGTTAGATTTTCCCGCGAACTTCATTCTTTACATTACATTCTGTTTAACTTTATTAATAGTTTAAAGTGGTAACTACTGATCATGCTCTGTTACATTGAGAAGAACAGAACAGGTACTCTTGAGGAAAGCTTTAGAACTGTAAACTGTTTATTTTGTGAAAATAAATCTTATCAAGCTATCATTGATTCTGTGTGCATTCAATCCATTATAAACTCATACACATGCAACAAAATAATTTACGTATTGATATGCTCTATTAAGTGCTTTGAATGAAAAAAATTTAACAGCATAATTATCATGCATTTTTAAACTAATGTCCACATAATTAACAAAGAAAAATCCCAAAATACTTACAAACTAAATTAAACAGGATTAACAAAAGAAACATTTTTAAGTCTATACTATACCTTCAACATGTGTCATTCTTAGACAATGGTCAATGACAATATGTGATATTCCACAGGATACAATAGTCAGGCTAATCAGTGTTTCAGATACTAATCGTAGTGTCTGCAATAAAGAATTTAGAAACAAATATCTTACTGAATAATTAATATATACAATAAAACTCTGATTTAATATTTTTCAGTGTAAAGTCAATCTACTGTACAATTATTCGAATAAATAGTTCATATATAAGTTTTGTAATTCTTCAAGAAAAAATTTCTGAAGTATTCAAATAGATGAATTGCACAAGCTAACAATCCTTTTACTTTTACTTTCAAAGTTTTAAATCCATATTTTAACACATACACAAACTAAATACAAATATTTCTTTTCCTTCACAAAAGAATAAGCATAAAAAATAATATAAGGATCAGTGAAAATTACATGAATAAACATTTTAGTGCTATTCCAATAAATAGTTTATATAAAGATAAGTAAGTAAAAATACATATATAAAATAATTCCTTATAATACAGTAATATACTAGTAATACCATGGACTTTTAACTGATGAAATGCAATTTAATTCCACATTACAAAACAAAAAAATTTCTTCTCTCCTCCCCCAAAAAGGGAGCAACAAGAAGATGACTGAAAACTGTGTACAAACATTTTGCACTCATCATTATACACATCTGCCATGCAACCATGCCAATAAATGGAAGAAAATGACATGCAAATGGCTGGTTGTCACTGATGTCACAAAACATAAAAGTCAAAGCTTTGATGAACATGCCAATGATTCTTTCAAAGGGTAAAGGCAGTGATCTACACGTACAGATTGTCAGTGCTTGTAAGGCTGAATGTTCAGCATCAGGATGACCAACTGCTAGGATACCTTACTTTGAAGTAAACCTAAGTATATATATATATATATATATGCATTTAATTTGAAAGTTAAGGATTGGTTTTGTTTAGTTAATTAAGGCAAAGAATATGAGGGTTATGTGCCTAATGGAAGAGATGCCTTCACGGAGGACTGTCTGAAAGAAAGTGGTTCAGATTTACATTACCCAAGAGAAAAATCACGAACATGCCCTTGCAGCCATGCTGTTCGCTGGAATTTCAACTCAAGGTGAATCACCAGCATTCATAAGTCTTAGCCATTCAGCTAATGATGGGCTTTAAAAATGATGGATAATTATTCATAACTTAATAGAAATTTTGTGAAGATAAGTATTTCAGTGTTTTTTTCTAACTGCTAAATTATACATATAAGAAGAGGAAATTAAAAGGAATACCCATCTTACTTTTGGATCAATACAGCATGTAACACTACAATTAAGTTTGATTATTGTCAATAGTTTTATATGTTAATAATATTTAATTACATTGAAAAGTACATGAACTTTATTAAATACAATATACTGTATTAAATTACCTGTTCCATTGATTAATACTTGTCATTGAAAAGAATAGAAAGTTAATTAAACTGTTTTAAATGACTTTCTTTTTACACTGGTTAGCATTAAAATTTGTCGAATGGATGATCATATGCTATGATGATAGAGCAACACCTTCCTTTTTTAACCAGGACATTTTTAAAAATTGAAAACAATATCATCTTTTTCAGGTGCTGGAAAAGGTGCATAAAAGTTTTAAAAAAATACATAGGAATTATAGTAAACAGAATCCCTGTTGGGGTGGGATGCAAATAAAGAGAACAGCATTCAAGCTACAAACTATTATCTTCTAAGAAAAAAAAAAAAAAAAAAAGACTATCGCTTCTGATGTAAGAAAGTTCTTGAATTTAACATGCTGTTTATAATGAGGATGGAAAATCACAAAATCAACTTACAGTTAACTGATTTAGCTGCTGGGAAAAAAATTAAAAATATCAAGGCTAACTAAGGAAGGTTTCATGGCATCAGTCACTTAGACACCACTACGAAACCCTAAAACATATGAAATGTAGAATTCTACAACACTCATTACATTAAATTTTACTTTCATTGTTCTTACTCAAAATTAGACTTGCTTGATTTTTACAACAGAAATACAATGCTGCACACACAAGATATAATTACTTTTAATTTCTTATGATTTTAAAAACCAAAAAATGCAATCATAAAACATAACTGGTTTGACATTCGATGACAGCAAAAGAAAACAAACATATAAAACTTTTACACAACATTCATAATGTGATAATTTTTATAGAAAAATCCAGAATAATAACAAACAAAAATTATAATAATTAATGTTTTGACCAGAAGAATAAAGAAACAGCTATTTTATTTGGTAATCTCTAAATTCTTTTCAAAATATACACTTAGAAACATACACTGCTAAGTAATAAAAATGAATATAAATACCTGAACAGCATCATCTTCCATCAAAGGATCACTGGTGCTAGTAGCTTTATTCTGCATATCTTTAGATTTGGGTAACTTACATCTTTTGTACTGTTTTGTGGCAGAACTAAAGAGAAAACAAAATTTCTAGCAAAGTTAAAAAATTGATTTATCCTTAAAAATGAAAAATGCAATTTCTAAATGTTCCCGCCCTTGGTAATTCTGAATGTCAAGTACTAAGAGACAAGCAGCACTTCATGTATAATAGACATAACAGCCACTAGGTTGTACTGAATGTAAATCCCAATAAGCTCAATGATATGTTTAGGCTGTGTTTAACTCAATGTTAAATTTTGATACTATTTTATTTTTTATTACAGACAAGTTATACAAAAGTTACAAAAATGTACATCATTTTCCGTTTTGATAAATCTTCAGTCAAAATTAATTCATGTACAGATCTGAAAAGATCATTAACAACATAATAAAGCAACACAATTTTTTAATTCATTTCTAAAGAGCTATCTACTTAAGTAAATGGATGCCTTCATGGAGGACCTTCTAAGGGAAACTGGCTTATATTATTACATATTACAGATGAGAAAAACCATGATAACACCCAAGCAGCTAGCCCATTAGCCAGAGTTGGAATCCCGGTGGCTGCATGGGCACTGAAATTTTTGGTAAAAATTATGTTTCTCAAAGACAAAATTACTTGACAACCTAACTAACTTTTTTGAGAAGACAAAATTCACAAAACAGTTATTTTACAAATTTAATGAAATAAGGCCATAATTCTCCTTCTTGAATTTAAAGTTTTACAATGGTATTTTATTAAATATATATTAAGTGATTTAACATTTCTTGAATCTTCATAAGAAGTTCTACATATGTCTATAATAGATTCGCATCAAATAAAATTTAATATGTAAAATTATGTTGAAAATAATTAGCAGTGGGGAAAGTAAAACTGAAAACCAGTAAATTTATTGATCTACCAAGAGACTGGAAAAAGGTTGAAAAAAATGGGACAACTGTAAGCTTTGATACAAGGCGATTTCTCTCAGACTTTTTTCACTATGGCCTAGTAAATGATTCCCTAATGACACACACACTATGTACTATAACTGAAAAAAACATACCTTCTGAAATAAACTTGTCTAAAATTAATTCTGGACCTTCTGAGTGGCATGACTTTTTATCCAGTCATGATACTTGTTGTCACGTAGTATGTATTCTCTCGTTACTTAAAATTAATTTTATTTTCTTATTTTTTTTATGACCTAAAGATCATTTTAAGGAATGGAGGTTGTTAAAAGAAAGGGTACTGTAAGTAATTATACAAATCTAACTAACAAATACTGCTTAAAAACAGCTCTTCTGAAGTACAGTCCGAAGTTGTTAATCCGGACTCGTCGGGACTTCGGCGATTCCGGATTATAGATCATCAGTTTAAATCTGGTAAGATGGCATGCAGAAATTATAAAATAAAAATATGAAACCATAATTTATGAAATAAAGAGCAATTATGATCTAAAGGATATCAAAATTTAAAAAAAAAAAAAAAAAAAAAAAAAAAAAAAAAAAAAAAAAAAAAAAGCTTAATATTTATTTGTTTACTTTATTAAACATTTCTTTCAATTAAGTTGTTTAAGTTGCTTCGTTTTATATGATAATCCTTTCTCTTTAATTTTATAAACAGACATAATTTCTTGTTGAGTTACAAAGTTCCGCAGTTCAAATCCTATAATTGCTGTTTCGAGAATACCGACTAATTTGTCAATCGAAATTTTTTCGTTTTCAATAACCTCTGTATCACTTTCTTCACTATCGGAAGCGAATTATAATGACGAGGAATTTGATTTAAATCATATCAAAGACGGAGTACATTGAGATGAAATACTACATTTAGTAAGGAATTATAAGCCAAATAAAATAAAAACATCTGCCCTGAAGATAAGGATAGTGCTGACAGATCAACTTCCAATTCATTGTGGCACCACAGCATTAAAGATAAACAAAGTTTAGATAAACAAACGTTAAAGTTTAGATAAACAAAGGATATGCCTTTATCCATTTTTTGCAGCAATTCGACTGTTTGTTTAATGGACTTCGAAACATACTTTTGCTTTGTAGATTCTTTGAAATTCTATTTGACATAATTGAAAGTTCAAGCTTACTTTTATAAAATTGCTCTAACAGTCTGCAAAAAATAATAAGCTGGATCCAATTAGAAGATTAAGGGACAACGCAATCTGCAACATTAACTAAAATAGATAATTAGATAATTTTAGCTTAGCTTATACCGTCCGTTATACATTAAACGCACATGCGTAAACATATTATGCGCATGCGTTGACGCATGCGCAGAAAGTTTGTAGCTTCGAGGTCCGGATTAACAACTTTTGACTGTATATCAAGAAAGCTGTGTTACTCAGAGGATTAATGCAAACTGCATGTTATTACTATAATGCAGCATGTCCCACATGCTACTGAACCCCAACAGTTCTTTAAAAGTTTTAGTTTTAATGAAAATGTAGTCATAAAATCTGCAACAGACTTAGCTGACTTTGTAAAAAATGTGGGTACTTTTCCGTTTCGCCGGCGCAAATCTCGCCAAGCAGACTTTATTGGCGACAACATACAGTATACACATAAAAAATATTAAAAAAATGTTAGTTCTAAGAATTCTTTTTTTGAAGGCTTTAACATTTTAATATCGCTTAAAATTTTATAAAAAGCCAATAAATAAAGACAATAAATTTGTGAAAAGACATTAAGAATTTACTATGCTTTCATGGTTCAACATCCTGATTCGCCGGTTCATATCACGTGACCCCAAGAGATCTCATCTCACGTAAACTACTCTACAAAAATCAAATGCTATCAGTAATTATCTACATTAATTTCAAGTTAAATCTTAATTTGGAACACAAGTTTAAATGCAAGAAATATTCCAATTCGTACGAATAGCTTACTCAGAAATTATGTAAAACTGCAGTGCTTTACTTCGCTAATGCATTCTCATTAGAATTGATGAATTTAACCCTTGACTTTAACTTTTCTATATTTTCGGCTTCGGGTAAGCGCTGTGATTGCATCCTAATTGACTTAATTACCGAAAATGGCCTTAGACATAAAACTGAACTATCTGATAAAAATTCTATGTAATTATATGCCAGTATTGAAAGAAACAATCAATCTGATAAGAAAAAGCTGCCACTTGTTTTGAAAATGAGGCGTAAAAGGTTACCAGCAAGAATATTCTGTTTGGCATCGGTTGTACCATTATTGGCGACTTTATCGCTTGCGCCGGCAAAACGGAAAAGTACTAAAATGTGATATGATAATATGTAATCATCATTTGCTCCCAAACAGCAATGAAACCAGAGTACCATATTTTTAAATGTGATTACCAGTAGGTCCACAGTCGTGGCATGGATATCTTAGTTGATATTTGCTTTCATGGTATCTATGCCTTATGGTTTGTTCGGAAAAAAAAAAAAATTATATTTCAGACATTCTGATAAAACGTAATCAGGTGGTGTTAGATCAAATGAGCATGGTGACCAAAGATCCTTTGAAATGAAGCGATTACTGAGTAAGGATTGAATTTTAGACTTGCTTACACAAGAAGTTTGGCATCCTTTCTACACCGCATGAAATAACAAGTTTCTTATTGTCACACTGATATACAAAGGTAGTGATTGAAGAAAAAAATAGAACTATTTTAATAGTTATATCAAAACATGGACCAATTATGCATCACTAAAATATTTCATACCAAAAAACATTTTTTTTAATGAAGAAGGTCTTCATATTTCCCATTATTTTCAATTGCCCAAACATAGGAGAAATTTTGAACATTAATATATAATAATAAATGAAACCATGCCTTGTCCAAGAGTCAAGCATAATCCAAATAGAAATGAAACAACTGAGAACAGAAGTAGTGTGTGTATTGGTAGGAGCATTCCAAAATATTTTGCTCTGAATTCAACATTATCTAAATGCAAATCATGGCCACTTCCAGCATATATCATCATCATATTTTTAAAAAGATAATGTAAGCCCACTTCAAATATTGTTGTAACACTTTCACTAGTGTCAAAATTATTACAGAAATGACAGTTTTGGTACGTTATCCTAGAATAAAAAAGGCTAATACTTTCTGTATGTTTTCTCTTTGGAAAATATACCTTATTTAATGACAGAAAATACAATTTCATTATAATCAATCTATTTATTAAACAGTAATCATATACCACATTTTTAAGAATTTTCTCCCGCACATAACCATTTCTTAAAATATACATTCAAAACCAACAATACCTTACAACTACAGTTTTTGGCCAACAGGTTACTTTTTTTAAATGTTAATTAGATCACACTTAAAAGTAAGTCAGCAGGGGTGATTTTTCTAAAGCCACCTCACCGACTTGTTTTTAAGCACTATTTTGTTTCAAAAATTTTGTACTATTAATGCTTTTGATGGTTCAAGAGATTACATTACAGCATATAGTACAAATGAATTTGACTATAGTGCTATTGAATATGAAACAGATTGTTGTATGGCCTGACAAATATATATCAATAGCTCGGAAAAATGATATTGATGCAGAAGTACTTATTGAAAAATAGACATGTTTATCTATAAATCAAATTCTGTTTAACAAAAATATTTCTTAGATGTATTTTAGTGTTTTATTTCATCTACTTATTTCCTCATAATCAAAATATTTTTCTGTAAGGAAAGATGTATTTTACAACTGATGATGACCAAGAATACAGACAATACAGTACTTATAATACGCTAAGCTACTTAACAATTAATTACGAGGGCCATCCAGGAAGTAGATTACGTTTCCGTCTGTGTCCGCTAGGGGCGGGGCTAGCGCGGCCATCTTGGGGTCAGAGCGTTGCGCAGCTCAGTCTGCATCTAGCCGTGCTAGTGAGAGGTTCGTGCTGTGCTCCGTTCAGATACTGTGACGGTTTGAAATGTCTGCGTTAATTGAAAATCCCGCGAGCTGCGAGGTGCGCTCAGTAACAAGGTTTCTGACTGCAAAAAACTGTAAACCGATAGAAATCTATCGGCAGCTTCGTGAAGTGTATGGGGACAACATTATCACTGAAGGTGGAGTGCGTCAGTGGGTCATAAGATTTCAAAATGGCCGAACCAATGTTTCACGACGAAGATCGAAGTGGGAGACCCAGCATAGTGACCGCCGAACTTCTCGAAAAAAGTCGATGCTAAAGTCCGTGAAAATCGAAATTTCACAATAACGGAACTTTCTTTGAGTTTTCCACAAATTTCGCGAAGTTTGTTGCACGAAATTATCAGCGAAAAGCTTGGTTACCACAAGTTTTGTGTGCAAGATGGAAGGCAAGAAGAGGTAACGAAGTGGTTGAAGGCGCAGGCGGCCGAATTTTTCGACGAAGGAATTTCCAAGCTCATACATCGCTACGATAAATGCCTTAATTTGTATGGTGACTATGTAGAAAAGTAGTATTTGAGTGTGGCTTTCATCTGTATATAATAAAATTTGTTTCCTATACTTTGTTTATTTTTTTATTCCAAAACGTAATCTACTTTCTGGATAGCCCTCGTATATTATAGAACATTCATTTTAAAAAACAAAGCTACATAAATATCAGTGCAGGTAATGTAATGCCCAATCATTACATCATCATTCCTGGTAAATGCATTAAACATAAATAGGAATAAAATTGAAAATAAAGAAAACAGAAAAGAAATTCTGATATGAATCTGGCACTAATATTTCAAAGGGGTGGGGTTGGGAGGGGGACTGAAACATTAAACATTTAAGGATACAACAGATAAACAAGTTAAAGCAATTTAGAAAATTCTCTAATTCTCCTTTATTATTAATCACTTTTTAAAACATTTTAAGACTATTAATTTATTAAGAATATTCTATAACTAAAGAAGAAGCCCATAAATTTATTAAAAGAAAAGAAATAAAGTTTTGAAAATAAAATTTTAACTTACACTGAAAATGTGTCTAAAAACCCAGGTGCTTTGGATGAAAGTTTCACTGTACGCACTTTAGATGTTCTAAACCTCCTTAAAGTACGACGGATATCGGCACTAGTGGCTTGAGTTCCTTGGCTGGTAACATATTCCTGAGTATGATTACACACAACTTTACCTTTTTTCTTTTTAACACATGGTACATGATGTGCTAACTCAGATCCATGAGAAAATCTACACTTTTTGATAGCTATATTTTCTTCAGTTTTATTTGCTTCAAAATTTGTTTTTTTTACAGTGAATGAATTATGCCTTTCAGAAGACTGCAAGTGCATACCACTATCATAAGAATTTGTATGACTAGATTTATTTCGCTTTGATGAACATGATTTATTGTCTGAAGTCTTTGTTTTACATGGTGTTTTCAAGGCACAAGAACTATTATGTTTGGAGGAACATCGTCGATTCCTAACCAGCTTATTTTGGAAAGAATGCTTACATGTGCACCGAGTCTCTCTTAATCCATTCTGGCTGCCTGCACCACTTGAAACTGCATTTTTTTTTCTGCAACAGTCACCATTTAGACATATTCTACACTGTCCAGAATTCATCTGGACTTGAGTTGCACATGCTCTTTTCTCGTTTTTCTGATTTTCTATAGCACAAGTTACTGATTCTTTTTTTATATATGCAGCAAGCATTTTTCTACGCTGCCTTGTTAAAGGACCTCTGAAATGGAGGAAATCTTCAGGATTATTATTGAATGTTTCCTTTTGATTTTTTCTTTTATTCTTACAAATTGAATTGGATGATATTTGGTTGCTTTCACTAAACTCTTCTTTATTGCATTTTCTCTTTTTTTTAGAATTTTTTACTTTTTCTTCATGCATTTTTCTTTTTCCAGTCACAGATACACTTGCAAAATCTGACTGAGTAGCCACGCTCTTTCTAGCATCTAACATTAAATCTGCATTAGAAAATTCCGAACAATTAACAGCTGATGCATCTTCTAAATCTGACTGAGTAGCCACATTCTTTCTAGATGCTAATGTTAAATCTGCATTATAATATTCAGGACAATCAACAACTTTTGAAGTTGATGGCTGCTGAGGATCAAAATTAGCATACCTTTTTGAATCAGAAATACTATGTACTGCTTTTAAACAAGCACAATCATTTACACAAGTTCCATCTCTATCATTCCTAAAATCCATATTACAAACTTTATTAGTCTTCTTGGAAGTTTTTGAACAACTGGGCATATTATTACTAGAATCTACTGAATCAACATTTAATGCTGAAGATGAAGGGTGATGCGATCTGGCTGTTTCTTCTGACAAATCATTTATTTCCTTTTCATATTTACTTTGCTTGGAATTGTTTAAATTTGTACCAGGCATTTCAGATATTTTCTTGCATTCATCTTTTTTATTTTCTATTTTAACACAACAAGGATTTTGTGATGATGTTGAAGGTTGTAAATAATCATACTCTGTAATTTCTCTTTTGATTCTACTGACATTTTGCATTATTTCCCTTGAAGATGAGGCATAATCATCTTCATCTTCAATTTCTTGTTTAATAAAAGCACTGCTTGCTTCATTTGGAGTTACTGAAGGAGAAGCAACTGTGCCATCATCATCATCATCATCAGTTTCTGAATCATCATCAGTAGTTTCTTCTTGAACCTGATGATCATTATAATTAACACTGCCAGCAGGTGCCTGAACTGGGTTTAAATTATTTCCATTATCATCAGCTACATTGATTTCATCATTTACATTTTCTCTGATTTCAACAGGCACATGAACAACATTATTCTGTTCATCAAAGAAATCTTGCGGCAAAACCATCAAATGTGGCTCAGGACGAATTTCATTATCTGCTTCTACATAATCTCGATCAATCTCATCATTCTCTAGCACCTGCTCGTCACCTTGAGGTTCAAAATCCTGTTGATGACCTTGGACAGCAATATGTTCATCTTGGTTACTAACTACAGCTGATGACATACCAAGACCAGTACCTGCACTCAAGCCGACATGACTACAACCCTTGGGTGGCTCTCTGAACATATCATTTAGAATCACAACTTCTATTTTGGGCAAAAGTGCTAAGAACAAGGCAAATGAAGGCAGCTGTAAACAATGACATTTTTGAAGTGTTAAATCAGTCAACTCTTTCCATGCTTGCACACCTAAAATATTTAAAATATTAATAAAAAATCCAATAGAAGATAAAAGTTCATTAAATTATAGCAAATATTTTAAAATCTAAAATAAATATAATTTTGAAACATATTTTTTAATTAAGAAGTAAATTAATTAGAAAAATTAAACAGCCATACAACTTGGAACATTAAAATATCCTACAACATATACAGTTAGCCACAAAAGTCTGTGTACAGACTAAATTTTAAATTTAAAAAAAAAAAAAAAAAACACTTAAAGCATAGAAAAATGTATTTTAATCATTGCATTTTTTTTCTTCTATTAGCTAAAATTGTACACTTATATAAAAAGTAAATAATATCAGTGTAATACATTTTACATTTTTTCAAAAATATATTTTGTCAAAAAAACTCAGAAATTACCTCCAATAAGTCTGTGTACACTTTAAAAAAAAAAGCAAAATATAAGTTTTTTACATTACTTCAATACTTTGTAGGATATCCTTTATTCTTTAAAACAGCTTGCAGACGTCTGGGCATTGACTGAACTAGTTTTTCAGTGTCATCCGACATAAATTTTGTCCATTCTTCCTGCAATTTACTAATTAGCTCATTTCACGACATAATATTGTGTTATCAAATTAGTTTTTCTCCAATTTTTTTTTTGCCCACAAATGTTCGATTTGATTGAGGTCTGGTGACTGTGGAAGAGAGTACGCAACTGTCTTGGAGTGTGATAGAGGAGATATTCCTTCACAATTTTTAGCTGTATGTTTTTCGGGTCGTTGTCTTGTTGGAAAATAAAGGTATTAGAAAGGTTAGAAAGGTTTAAATTTCAGGCATTGTCTCGTAGATTTTTCTTCAGAATATCCAGATAAACATACTTATCCATGACTTTATCAATAATGTGAAAATTTCCAACTCCTTTCAACGACATACACCCCCATACCATTCCATCGCCAGCTCCATGTTTGACAGTTGGATTTAAATTTCTCAGATTCTGTTCCTGGTTTTCTCCATACAATAGGGTGGCCATTAACTTTAAATATTGTAAATTCACTTTCGTCTGACCAAATTACATTGTTCCAGAAGTCCTGTGAAGAGTTTAAATATGTTTTGGCAAAAGCAATTCTTTTCTTTCTATTTGTCTTGGAAATGTATGGCTTAGACCTAGGTTTGCATCCATGATAATAGGCCTTTCGCAGCACTTTTCTTACAGTTTCAGGAGAAATTTCCTTGTTGCTAGTTAAAAAAATTTCTTTTGCAATGCTTGCAACAGAAAGTTTAGGATTTTGTTTAATTCGTAAAAGAATTTTTCTTTCTTCTCTCTGCGTTAGCTTCTTCGGTCTCCCACATTTTGGTTTTACAGCAAGACTACCAGTGTCAAGATAGTTTTGAATAACTCTTTGCACACTACAAAATGGTTTTACTGATATAATGAAGAGTTTTACCTTAATCTCTCAATTTGATAATTAGTTGTCTCGTAACTAAAGGAATTTCTTTATTGGTTGTCATTTTCGTCAAAGAAAATAGAAATAACAACTTCCAATCAACGTGAAATTTGCTTCAGAAGTCAATGACCTTGAAAGTGTAACCTTCTTTGCATTCTCAAGTTTGAAGTTTAAAAGTTAGATAAGAAATTCCCCGCCTCCTTCGCATTGTACGCAAACTTTACTGGCTTCGATGTCTGGCCACTTACCTTTTAAAAATTAGTGTGCATAAATTATTAGATATGAAAATATTACAGTTAAATAATTTCAAAGTCCCTTATTGAAACTAAATATTTAAAAAATAAAACTTTAAGAAACTACCCTTTTCATACCTTAAAATTTGGATTTGATATTACTTTTCTTGATGTACGCAGACTTTATTGACTAACTGTATATGTGTAATGTTTTTGAAGCATAGACGTGATGGCATAGTGGCAGGCTGGGAAGATGAACAGATGATGCCGACACAAAAAATGAATTAGACAAATTCCCAATCTTTATTTCCACACATATAAAATCATCTCAGTAGATCCAATAATAATGAAATCCGATACCTTTTTATGATTCAATCATAATGAAATATGATAAATTTCTATGTACATTGTTTCTTTAAAGAAATGATGAAGGCCTTTGAGAAGCAAACTGATGCAATGATGACAGAGTAGCACTTAAGGAAAGGAATGGAAGAAGAAAGTAGTTTTTTAAGATTAAAACCATATGAAGCACTAGTTTTTTTAAATTAGAACAAAAGGAAACAAAATGTTTTATTTGAGTCGATTTTTTTAGCTTAATTTTATTTGAAAAGGATATATATATATATATATGTAATGATATTTTTAAATCAATTGATTAAATTAAATTCTAATAATATTGCTTAATAATGTGTTGGCGATTCTCTACCTAAATTGCATCCCTGTTCCTAAATTTTGGCGAAATCCTTTCTTTAGTATAAAATATATTAACCTGTTGGCGCCCGCCAAATCGCCAAACTCATAAATCTGTCATATTACATAAAGTCCTTAAGAACACTCCTGATGAGAAGATAGCGTCACCTCGTGATTTCAATTAATATCGCTGATTGGAGGAGCCTCGTGACGCACACATATGTATAAGTAGGGCTTCTGCTCAAGGTACGAGGAGAACGCTTGTGAGATGGATGCTAAAATAAACCTACCACTTTATATTCCAAAATTTGTCTCATTCCTGTTGCCCCGGCTGCACAAAACAAATAATGTATGAGAAATTACATTTCAGAAAGCCGGTAGGATACCACCTTCAAAGGGATTATCTAAAAAAGAAGATACCCCAAGGATTATACGGATAAAATGTTACGCACTTTAGATGAATTTGCCGCTGTGCGACTTCTATGTTTCTACATTTTTCTCTAGGCGTTCTTGCTTCAAGAGAATCATCCTTCTGTTACCTGTATTCTGGTATTCTGCAGATTATTTTACGTCCAGAGAAGCATCCTTCTGCCCCCTGTGATGTGTGATCTGTGTTTCCATCGAAAGTTCGTCGTTCATCAAATGTGCTCTTACCGTTGACCTACTTTTGAGGATGGAAATCTTTCCCTACGTCTACGCCGTTCTGTGTTGCTCTCGAGAGCTTTGTGCTTGTGTGGTGATTGATCGTGTTTTGCGAAAATCTAATCAAGAGTGCACAAAAATGTGTATTTTCGTGTCGATTTCATCACTCGTATTCTCGTCACAATAAGTCAAACAGAAGCAATTAGTAAAAAGATTGGCGATGCAAATGATATTATTACTATTGAATTATAATTACTGATTTAATAATAGTGTTTTTATTTTGAAAATTTTAAAAAGTATTATTTTGGTATAAATGTATTTTAAATTTGGTATTTAAAGGATGTATTTTGGTTTTAATATTGTTTTGGGAAAATTTAAAGAGTATTATTTTTGAGAGTTTTAGTTATGTTTTATTTTTTATGAAAGTATTATTAAGAGAATAATGGCTAATGAAAACATCTCTGATCCTGATGATTCATTAAGGGCAGCTAGCGCTGAACCTGAAACAAGTATAATTCCCTTTGACGCGCAGAATGATATGGATATAAATTCATGGCTTGAGTACTTTAACAAAACTCATTTAGATAAAGATGAAACGTGGAAGCTTAATAATGTAGCTCGATATCTAAAAGGTAATGCACTTAGCGTATATGTCAAAAACTGCCATAAAATTACTAAATATGTGGAATTAGTCCAAATTTTAAAGGAAAATTTTTTTGACCCCACTTTAACTACGTTTGGTGATTTTGCCAATTACAAGTACAATCATAAAGAGAACATAACGCAATATTTTCGCAAAAAAAAATAGATATTGGTAAAAAATTAAATCTAACTCATGAAATGATCTTGGAGGGTCTGACGGATGGCCTTCCTATAGAATTAAAATCCTTAATGACGATCAACGCACCCTCTGACCCCATCTCTTGGCTTACTCATGTCCATAAGCTTATTAAGATTAGCGAAAATCAACAAATCAAAAGTGCACCTCCCAGATTTGTTACTCCGATTGGGAACAGTCCCCAAGATTACAATCGATTTAATAGAAGTAGAATTTCAGCTTCAAGCTATGAAACTACTGTGAGACAAGATTCTCCTAGACCCAACAATTTCCAACGTTTTCAGAGACCAAGTAATTTTTATAATCGGTTCAGTGGTCCAAGATTTACAAGCCATCATAATTATAATTCTCAGAATAGATTGCCATTGCCACCCAGTCCCTGTAGACTTTGCACCCGGAACGGAATCCCAAATGCTTTTCACTGGTTTCAGGTTTGTCCTTTCAGAAGGGAGAGATCTGATACACCTAATGTTACGCCCCTTGCAATAGAACCAACCCCAGAAACCCCTCACAGTAGTTGACTATTAAAGGTGTCGGGATATTTGCCCAATAAGAAACGTCTAGAGTGTGTTGTAGACAGTGGTGCCACCATATCAATAATTTCTTCCAAAACAGCTAGACAATTACGTTTAAAAGTACAAAGAGTTAGATCATTTTCAGTAACCCAAACTAAAGGAAAAATAATCTTCAACAAAATATGTTGTATACAAATGAAAATTGGACGGATTAGTAACCAAATTACCTTGTTTGTTCTTGATAATAATTTGAATTATGTAATTTTAGGACTTTATGAATGCAAATTATTTGAGTTGAGTATTGATTGTACTAATTTAAAAATTAAACAGAGAGCTATTGTACTTAATGATGACTGCCATTTTGACAGCCGACCCATATCTCTACACCTCCAACTTCAAGGTGGTATGTTTATCCATGTGTTAATAATGATGATGATGTAAGAAATTTTCCAACCTGTAAAACTACAAATCCAATCTCTCAATGTGTTCAATGTTTATCCATGTGTTAATAATAATAATGATGATGATGTAAGAAATTTTCCAACCTGTAAATCTCGGACTACAAATCCAAAGGAATTAGTTTCTCAGTCTAACATTTATGTGAAAAATGCTGTTTCTAATACTGTCGATAACAAAGAGTATAACTTGGAAAAATTGT